GTGTGGCTCCTTGGGAATCTGCCCAGCCCGCTGGGATTCTACGGACGTCCCAGGTCCCCCGTGTGGCTGTGTGGTCCCCGTTGGCGTGGCGGGTAGGCAGCAGTGTGACTTGTTTTCCTTTAAGGCAAGGAGTTATTTGAGGTAGAAGTCGTGGGGGGCGCAGACACCCCAGCCAGCCCCACCTGGCTGCCACTGCTGGTCCCGCCACTGGCTCCCGTCCGGCTACCCACGCTGTTGTTGGTACCAATGCCACTGATGCCACCTTTGCCGGGGGCGGAGGGTGGTGTGGGGGGCGGTGGCTGGGCAAACAGCACCCCTGAGACAAAGACAAAGGGAGGGACACGTCACGGGGCTTGTCAGCTGAATAGTAGCGCAAGAGGTGAGGACGGGCCTGTGACTCCAGAAACCCGGGAGGCTGAGGCAGGAGGGCGAGAGGGGTGCTGGCAACCCGGGATCCAGAGGGAGTTCAGGGGCAGACAGGGCGCCTTGGCAAGACCCCATCTCGAAGTAAGAGGACTAGCGAGATGGCTCAGTGGGCAATGGCGCTTGGCGCCAAGCCCGATGCCCTGAGCTGTATCACCAGGACGCACGGTGACAGGAGAAAACCCACTGGCACAAGCCGTCCTCTGACCTCCACATGTCCCCTTCCCCCCAGCTCTGAGGTAAAAGAAAGTTGAGGGCCCCGCAGGCCTTGGCCCAGCCCACGCTGGACCCTTACCTGTGTACAGGATCCCATTCATCTCCACTGACATGCTAATGCTATTGCTGCCGTTGGCACTGGCGACACTCCCAGCCGAGTCCTGGCGGCTCTCAGTGGCTGTGGGGGCAGAGGTCCGCCGTTCAGGTCAGAGGTACACCCTGTCTACTCTCTGTCAGGCCAGTTCTCTGCTGGGGTTCTTTCATTTACTTATGTATTCCTTTTATGACCAGGTATGAACACGTAGCTCAGGCTGGCCCTGAAGTCAGCATCTTCCTGCTTCAACCTCCTACCTGGATAACAGGCATGCCCCACCATCTGCGACCCCAAGGGTCCCACGGGACACAAATGCTGATCTGCTAGCATGTAGATTCCCAGCTGGACAGGCTGAGCTTTCCACACGGGTGCACTAGCCCCAAATGCCTCCTTTCCTCCTGGGTTAGCTGCCCTTTCCGGGCTGATCAGGCGGAGGGGCTCCGAGGCACTTCTTTTGCCCTGCACACGGGACGCCATACCTTGGCTGTTGATCCGGATGTTCATGGGCAGCTGCGCCGTCATGGCTAGGAAGTTCTGCTGCAGGGCTCGCTGCATGAGACGCTGCTGCTCATCCGCAACCAGGGCGATCTTCTTCTCAGGAGGCTCCGTGGATTCCAGCTTCTCCCGGAGCTGCTCCAGAGCAGCTGCCTGTGCCGCGACTGCTGCCTGGGCTGCCGCCGCCTGCACGGCAGCTGCCTGGGCTGCTACAACAGGGTGGCCGGCCAAAGACACAGGCAGGCGGCCTGGGACGGTGATGGGGATGGCCGAGTCTTCCTCTGGACAGACAGGAGATGAGGTGGTCAGGACGGACTTGGGGGAAGCCGGCTTTGCCATCACCTAGGCTTCTGTGGTGTTGGGATGGCACCCAGGGCTTTGGCAAACTCCACACCCACTGAAGCGCGGCCTCAGCAGACAAGAAGACTCCCATCGGCCCGATGGGATGTCTACACAAGTGGGGAACACTTGGACCTGGGCTTTATGCTTGCTGGGGACGCCATAGGCAGGACACCTCCCACCAGCTTCACAAAAGTCAGGCCACTCCTACCTCTGACACCAAAGCCAGCCTCAAAAAGGATTAAAGAGTGCTCAGGGGTACCCAGCATTAGACTCAGGGGGGTTCAAGGGTCAAGTGTCATGACCGACACTGCACGCGTCTGGTATGAGCCAAAGGTCTCCAGAGTTTAGAAGGAAGCGGAAGTGACAAGTTAGTAATGTGTGCCATGCATAAGAGACTGTTAGCAACGCCGGATTTAGGAAGGGGTGCAGTGGGGGCTGGAGAGATGGCTCAGTGGTTAAGGGCACTGTCTGCTCTTCTAGAGGTCCTGAGTTCAATTCTCAGCAACCACATCGTGGTTCATAACCATCCACAGTGTGATCTGGTGCCCTCTTCTGCTGTGTAGGCACGCAGCCCGGGTACTGCATAAATAAGAAATAAATCAATCTTAAAAAACAAGAAAAAGAAAAGGGGGGGGCAGTGCTCAGTTAGTAACATCTGCCCCACTGTAGACATGAAAACCAGAATGCTCTTAGTGATGTCTGCTGCAGGCAGGAGGGAGGCAAACGAGCTGGGGAATGAAGCGTGGTGACACCCTTCTGCTGCAGGCAGGGGACTGGAGAGCAGGGGGTGACTAGTAATGTCTACCTTGAAAACAGACAGGGATGAATGGAGAATTCTCTCACACTACCTTGGGTTTATCATAGTTACCCAGAGAAATAAGGGAATAACCTCCTCCCTTTAAATGATTCACCTTTCTTGATCTTGGGCGCTGGGGTGATAGAGCTGCCGTTGGTGCTGGCGGCAAGGCCCAAAGAAGTCACCGGAAGCTTGGGTGAGGAGAGCATGCTGTGAGCTCCGCTGGGCGAGTAGGCAAAGAGAGAGCCCCCGAAGCTCTGGCGCCTGCCCTCGCGACGGTTGCTGTCTATAGCAGCCTGGAGCTCATTGGGGCTGCTCAGGCCTCGCCTCTCACACTCATAGGGGTAAAGATACTTCATATACCTGTGGACAGGAAACAGAATTGCACTGGAGATAACAGGGGAGTCACCCTGCCACAAGCTCAGGGAAGGGGTGCATTATCTCAGGAGAGAGATGGAAGTCTGAGAAGGAAGGTGGTAGGCTACTTCAGAACACAGGTTATGGGCTATCTCAGGAGGAGGCAGTGGGCTATCTCAGGAGGAAGTACAGCCCGGCACTCACTGTGTCCGCAGTGTGAAGGCAGCACTGGTGATGGAGGTAGGCAGGTTCAGCCCCTTGGTGATCTCTCGCCACAGCTTCTTGTTGATGACCTCCACCAGCCCGCCCTTCTCAGTCACCAGCACATACAACATGAACAGGTCGAGGACCTGCTTGGCCATGATGGGAATTCGGTTCACTGGCGTGCCTGCGGGACACCAGGAAGGGGCTGCTGAAGGCAGGTACTGCTGCAGCTACTGTGGGTGGTGGGGGTGGGGGAGCAGGGGGACCATGGGGAGCAGGGGGAAGATGTGGAACAGGGGGAAGATGGGGAGGATGGGGGGGGAGGATGGGGAGCAGGGAGACCATGGGGAGCAGGGGGAAGATGTGGAGCTGGGGGACCATGGGGGGCCAGGGGAGGATGGGGAGCAGGGGGAGGATGGGGAGCAGGGGGAGGATGGGGAGCAGGGGGACCATGGGGAGCAGGGGGAGGAGGGGAGAAGGGGGAGGATAGGAGAAGGAGGAGGAGCAGGGAGAGGAGGGTAAGCAGGGGGAGGATGGTGATCAGGGGGAGGAGGGGATCAGGGGAAGATGGGGGAAGGATAGAGGAGCAGAGGGAGGAGGGGAGCAGGGGAGGAGGGGGGCCTCCCGGCACTGTGGCCACCACACACTTCTCCTGAGCCTTGCAAGGTGCTGAGTGTCACCCCAAGTCCACACCAGGACTTTCTCTGGGCAGCCACATACATACTCCCCCTAAACCTTCCTGTAGCAGCATCACCCTCAGGCAACATCCCTGCTCGCCTCAGTTTCCCCAAGAGAAACCCATGCTCACTAGCAACACAGACATCAGGACCCTAGAGGGAGTTAGAAGAGAGGCCAGAGGCCATCCTGGGGACACACAGCAGTCTCTAGGGCCCTGATTATTCTCACTCCAGGTCTGCCAAACAACCACAAACCATCCCCAGAGCCCCGCCTGCCTCGGCTCTGTGTCCCTCCTCAGCCTCCCCCCCCCCCCCCCCGAGAGTGGCAAGCTCCACCCGGGGAGGGAGGGATAGGATTTGCAGTTTAAGAAGCAGGAGCACCCATTTTGCTCTTGGTGACCCCCTATTCATCCCTAAAAACCTCACCTCCCAGGACCTCCATTTCCCAAGCCTGCTACAGACAGGGCCCTGCGCTTTTCTGCCCATCTAGACTCCCAGAGTTTTTGCCTATGTGCTCTGGGCCTAGCTCAGAACCCAGCCTCACCCTACTCCTGTCTGAGAAATTCTACCAACACAGCCTGGAATACAGCAAGTGCTCAAAAGAGAAGACTGATGGGTCTCAACCCCAGCCATAAATACGGGACCACCCCTGTCCCTTAATTGGGGAAACCTGCCATCTCTTTACTGATGGGGAAACTGAGGCTCTTCGATCGGGCTCCCCTGTCACTGGGGATCCATGACCCCCAGAAAGCCGGCACTGGGAGACCCTTTCTCTACTCTTAGCCACATCCTGCCTCACCCAAGTAACAAAACCGCCCGGTGTGACTCAAGGGGAGCCAGGGTGGCCACGGGGAAGTGGATCTTGAACCCACCACCCTGTTCAATGGAAGCTCAGCCCTAGAGGGAGACCAGGAGGTGGGCAGGACAGTCTCAGCCAGTGGAGGAGGAAGTTTATATAAAATCAAGGCACACGATGGGGGATGGGATGGGGAAGGGTGGCGGGGGTAGCAGGGGAACAGGCAGGACACCTCCCCAATTTCGAGTCTCCAGGGAATTCTGAAATTTGTTTCTAGGTCTCTGCTTTCTGATGCAAGGGATCAGGGGGTCATCTCTTTCTCCCAAAGAAGGGACCCGTGGGCAGTAGGCTATACTGACAGGGTGAGGGATGGTGGTTTGAATTCCAGAGACTTCAGAACAAAGTACCAGAGGGGGCAGTGACATGGGGTTCTGAGGGATACAGAGGAGTATGTGGCCTGGACTTGATGAGGGAGGCAGGGTTAGAGTTGGGCTTTCTGAGCCCTTGTGGTCACCGGCAACCCTGAAGCACTGAGGATCCTGGCCTTGCTGACCCGTTACAGTGGGGTGGTGAATAGGCTGGTCAGCTCTGTGGTCGAGAGACAGCTGGAGGACCCCTGATGAGTCTGGGGCTCGGGCAGGTGGGGTGCGTGATAACACAGGGTGGAGAGATCTCTCCGGCCACACGGAGGGCAGCAGGGCTGGCCTGAACAAGGCTGGGCTCTGTGGATAGCACGGGGACTTCCCCACACCCACAGGAGCCTGCAGGCCCCACCCCGACACTGAGGGGTTAACTCAGAGGCCACTGGGCTGGGCCAGAGGATCGGGAGGCCACAGTGTCCCCTTCTCTTGTGCCTTCCGGTGGGCAGGCCTGTAGGCCCATGTTTACAGAAGCTGGGCCCCAGTGATGGCGCTGGCTGCTGGCTGGCCTCAGGTCCCCTCCTCCGCCCCTTCCTGCCGTGTGTTTGAAGCCTGGGCGCTCCTGCTCGGACCTCAGTTTCCTCCCTTAGAACACGGGGATTGTAATGACCCAGTCCACCTGAGGCCCCAGAGGTGGAGCTGGGGACCGTCACAGAGTTCGGGGGAGACCCCCTTCTGCCCAGGGAGGTGCTCACCCCGCTTCTGCATGAAGCTGAAGAGGTCATCCAGAAACTCTTTCCTCTTGGGGTCGGCGTCCAGTTCATAGAGCTGCAGGCAGAGCAGGATGGTCAGCGGGTGGGAGGTACTGTCCCCACTGGGGTAGAGGGGACAATGACGCTGGGGTGGTGGGGCAGCAGCAGGGACCCGGCAACCCCACACACTCCAAGCTTCGGACAATGCTGACCTTCTTCACCACATCCAGGGCTCACTAGCCAATGCCCCCAGGAAGGGTTCTTCCCACTGACCCCAGGGCCTTATTCCCTCTGGGCATTATTCTACAAGGAAACTGAGACACAGCGACAGAGAGAGTCCTTCAGTCCATCCACACAGCTGCCCATCTCGTGAGCACCTGGGGTCTCCTCTCTCGTCTCCGTGTAGAGGGACTAAGTGACCTTCAGCCCACCCAGCCTGTGGCTGGTGGTGCTGGCGTAATGTGGATACTGCTGTCCCAGGACTGTGCCCTGGGTGCCTCTGGGACTCACTGGCTGAGCAGGGGGAAGTGGGGCGGGGATAATTAGAATGCTCAGCTGAATACCAGGCTCCAAATTAACCTCCAGGAATGCAGCTGGCTGGACTGTGGGGGGCCTTGAAACCACCAATTACACCTAGGTCTGCATAATCCATCATTTAGTCTCCAAAGGCTTGGTGGGAGCCTCAGAGCAGGCAGAGGGCCATCCCCAGACCATCCTTCCAACATGCCCCTGCCCCCAACTCAGTTTCTCCATCTGTTCAATGGAGGCCATGGACGGGATAGGCGCTATCCTAGAAGGGAGGCAGAAGCCTAGGTCTCTGCCCTGGGTGGCACGGCTGTCAGCTGCCCAGCTGCCCAGCTCTGTCTGCACCTGCCCCACCCCGGGCCAGCCGGCACCAGACTGGCCAGCCCACATTCCTAAGTCCAGGGAGGCCCACTCTCCCTCTCCAGGCTGCCTGAGGGGTGTGGGGCCTGGCAGGTACCAGGGGCCACCCAGCACGGGTCTCTGGGTGCCACACACAAGCATCCGGGCCAGCTGGAGTCCTCCTTCGCTGGTGAGGAGCCCGAGAGAGCACCATCCACGGGTGTGTCCCCGTGCCCAGCAACCACCAAACGAAGGCTTCGTACTGCCATCTGATTCCCTCAAGGGGCTACCTGGGCGGGGAGGAGCAGGCATGATGGCCAGACGCCGGGCAGATAGGCCGGAGCCCTAGACACTGAGAGACAGAAAGAGCCCTCCCCTTCGGGAGCTTGTGGGTCCTATACAGACCCCCAAACCCTTTCCTGGACACGGGACAGTCTCCACGGGACAGACGGGTTCCACCCTCCCGGGCTCAGCCTCCTCCACAGACACCATTAGAGCCTCCTTCCTCAGTTTCCCCATCTTCAAGGAAAAGCACGAGCCAAGCCAGGCAGGTGATGGTGGCGTACACCTTTGATCCCAGCACTCGGGAGGCAGAGGCAGGCAGATCTATGAATTTGAGGCCAACCTGGTCTACAAAGCGAGTGCAGGACGACAGCCAAGGCTACACAAAGGAACCCTGTCTCAGAAAAACAAGAAAAAAGAAAAAGGAGGAGGAGGAGGAGGAAAAGCTCAAGACAAAAGTGCAACCGTTTGAGGGAGTGGCTCAGCGGGCGGAGTGCTCACGCAGCACTCGGAAGGCTATGGGTTCCACCCCCAGAACCCGTAAACCAGGCGTCTGGGTGATGCACACCTGTCATTCTGGCACTCAGGAGTGGGAGGAAGGGTTGGGAGTTCAAAGCCAGCCTGGGCCACATGAGATCCCGTGTCATCACCCCAAAGGACAGTTCTGTCTTCAGCTTCAAAGCCTCTGGGGAGGCTCAGCCCAGAGAGTAGCTGTCGCACTGATGCCCATTCTAATAGGAGAGACTGAAGGACCAGACAGCGGCAGAGCCTGCTGGGATGCCTACAGCGACAGGACATCAATTAAAGCCATAAATGGGACACCCACAGCATCCCCCAGCTGCCTGTGGGGGAAGGGTCGACCACAAAGACTGCTGTGAAAGCCCTGGCCCTCCTCGGGGAGGGGGTGTCTCCCCCTAGAAAGCTGGCTCCGGGGGACAGGCTCCAGGCTCCTGGTCTAGTCAGAGGCCCAGCACCGAGAGAGGCTTTGGCCTGTTTTTCTTGTCTGGAATTGGACAGCACACAGCAGTTATCTAATAAATGCTCATTAAAGATGAGGGTTTCTCAGGCTTTGCAGGGGATGTTCACGCCCTGCGGTGGGGCCCTCCCTCCCTCCCTCCCTTCCCCCCACATCTCTTCACTTTTCTGCAAAATGGCTTTAGGTTGTAGGAGCATGAACCCCGGGACGGGGGCATACAGCAGGCACTTACTGAGTGCGCGCTGCCTTTCCTCCCATTCCCTCCACAGCCATCCAAACAGTTCCTTCTCCATAGCAGTCTCCTGAGCCACAATCCTCTGCAGCTCACACTGTCCGCCGTCCCTTTGTCCCCTCCATGGAGACATTTTTTGGTTCGTGTATTCGTGGGTTTTGTTTTTCCTTTATGGGAACCTTTTGGCTGTTTTTGTGGGTTTTCTGTTTGTTGATGAGAGAGGATCTAGCCTAGAACTCCTGGCATTCCTCCTGCTTCTGCCTTCTGATAGCTGGGATGACAGGCTTCAGCCATCCACCCCCCACCCACCCCACCCCCACCCAGACCTGGCTGGCCATGGGGCCCAGCTGTCCACAGTCACATCCATCCGAAGGTTTCTGTTCTGACCACACCTGGGCAGCCAGGGCCATTCCCACAGGGGCCCAGGGCGGTGTCCTCAGAGCCAAGGGGCCCTGGCTGTCCTCGGCTGTTTAAAAAAAAAAACAACAAAAAAAAGACTGCTGTGTGTGTGTGTGTGTGTGTGTGTGTGTGTGTGTACACATGTGTGGGGCCCCTGAGAAAACCTTTGTCCCCCAGGCTGTAGCAGCCTAGGCCCCCTGCCGGTTCCCCAGGGCTCCAAAGTCCACAGGGCCCCACCTGGGACCGGCGCCAGGCGGGGTGGCCCCCAGGAACGAAGACATTCAGGAAGGGCCTGGCCTGGCCCTAGCCCCAGCCTAGACGCTCCCTATAGTCACTCCCTTTGGGGTACAGCAGGCAGAGAAAGACTGTCGCCTGGGTCTGACACCCAGCTTCGCCCCTGGGCTCCAGGACCCCGTGGTGTGCATGCCTGGAAGATGGGACCAGTTTTGGTTTTATTTTATTTTATTTTTTTTTTTGAGGTAGGAGCTCATGTAGGCCAGGCTGGCCCCACATGAAGCAATCCGTTTGCCTCGCCCCTCAGTGCTGGGACCACCACGACACCTATTTGGCCTGGGGAGGCTTTTTAAAGGCTTGCACCTGCTGTGGGAACGCAAGCTATTTTCCTCTTTGGTGATAAGAAAATGTGGATCAGATTTGAGTCAGCAGCCCCTGCCCCCAGGTGAGGGGGGAGCCCAGAAAAGCCATCTGGGGACACAGGGACCTTGAAGACCCTGGGGAATTGCTGCCAGCTTGGCAGGAACGGAAGGAGGAAGCCGAGTCCTCCAGTGGGTGCCCACTCTCCGCAAGGAGTTCTTAAAAGGGCTTTCTCTCGCCAGACTCAGGGCACGCACGTTTCACCCCAGCGTTCAGGGGTGAAGAGCGCTGGCTCGCTCTTCTTTTTGTTTTCTCTTTCTATGTGCACTGGTGTTTTGCCTGCATAGATGTCTGCATGAGGGTGTCAGATTCTGGAGTTACAGACAGTTATGAGCTGCCATGTGGGTGCTGGGAATTGAGCCTGGGTCCTCTGAAGAGCTGTCTCTCCAGCCCCTTATTTTGTTTTTCAGGGACTGGGTTTCTTTGTGTAGCCTTGACTGTCTTAAACTTGCTCTGTAGACCAGGCTGGCCTCAAACTCAGAACTGCCTGCCTCTGCCTCCTGTGTGCTGAGATTAAAGACATGGACCATCACCGTCCGCACTGGTTGCTCTTTCAGAGGACCTTGGCTTCGGTTCCCAGCATTCATGTGGAGGTCCAAAAGTCTGCAATTCTAGTTCCAAGAAACCTGGTGCTTTCTTCGGGCCTCTGAGATCACCCACACACCTGTGGAGCATACATGGCCACATAAAAATACATTTTAACCCCCCCTTTTTTTCCCCCCAAGAGGGTTTCTCTGTGTATTCTTGGCTGTCCTGGAACTCCATATATAGACCAGGCTGGCTTCGAACTCAGGGAGATCTGTTTGAGATTCGTCTGCCTCTGCTGGGATTAAAGGCGTGCATCACCACTGCCTGATGCTTTTCTTTTTCTTTCTTTTTTTTTTTTTGGAAGTTTTCCATATAAATCTCAGCTCACATAAAGTCGCACACCTCTGTCTACTTCCAGAGCATTCCACCACCCAAAAGCAAACACCGTCGGCATGAACCGTCACCCCGCCTTCCTCCTGCCCCTGACACCCAGGTACACACTTCCACTCTGTGGCCTTTGTGTCTGGGTCTCTCCCTGTGCAGTGTCCTCATGCCCCTCTACTCTATAAAGTGTACCTGGGCATCAGCCCTGCTCACAGCCACTCAGCATCCCTGCCTATGGGTGGACCACGCTGCTGCATGTCCACTGTCTCTGACCGCAGGAGCCTTTATCCTGCCACATTCTTTGAGGATCTTGACAACTCTGTGTGCTTTAGGCTCTGGATAAGACACAACTCTCAACAATGTTTATAACCAACGTCTGAACACAATGGCTGGGATTTTCCTCCCTCTCCCAGCATGACCAGGACACTTCCTTTGCCCAGCTGCCCAGGGATGAAGGGCTCAGAGTTCTGGAAGCTTCAGGACTGGGCCACAAGTCTCCCCCTCATCCTCCCTGCCAGCCTAGTCCTCTATCACGGGAGTGTCTCCTGGAAGCTCGAGGGCCTCTTGGATGTCTTTACAGAGCCCTGGCCCGGGGCCTCCACACTTGCTGGTCCTTCCTGAAGACCCTTCTCCCATCTCAGCGAGGCCCTGGACACCAAGATGACTCAGCACTGGGGCGAGTCTGAGGCCTCCTTGGCAGACAGGCCCATTCCATTCTGCTACTGTCAGGATTCACCTGCAACCCTTCCTGCACAGG